ACACACACACACACACACACACACACACACACACACTCTTGGACCTCTGGGAATTTTATTGGCGGACTCAGTCAGTGCCATGAGTGAGATTCATTTCGGCTGCTGTTTCAGAGCAAGTGATGGTGGTAAGGGTGCGCTACACAGTAGACTTCTTGTGTCACATAAAAGTCTTAGGGATGTGCGCAGTTGTCAACCCATGTTTTTAACCCCCTTCGGTTGGGTAATTGCGAGTTCTATAAATCCTGTATTTTGTGCAAATGCTCGTTCGGCAGATGGATATAAGGTCATCTCCCGCTCAACCACGCAGCACCTTTCTTTAAGTTCATCAACGAGACGGAAGGGGCGGGCTTTTATTTGGTTCTCTCTTGGCAATCTCCACACCCACACCCACATGCCACTATTTCTTGATCGTTCAGCAGCCGCGTGAACACCTAGAGACCCTTCAATTGTGTCAGAAGTTTGGAGAACATTTTCATGCAGAGCAGTTTGGGTAAAAGAGTGTGACATGGACTACCCATGTGTGTTTAGCTGGCCAGGGCATTGTATTGTGTTCGCGTGCCGGAATTCCTCTTCTGTGGAATTTTCTTTTTTTACTTTTTTGGAATTTTCTTTTGCAATTAGGACTTAAGCTAGGAATTTAGGTACTCTGAATTTTTGAATTTTGTTGCACCGCGCTTTCGCGCATCTTGCTGCGCTGGGAACTGGGCTCTGACTGGATCGCGCCCTTAATCGGTATAGCTGTCGTTTTTGGCGGGCGCGATTGTAACTGTATCTTTCTTCTTTCTTGGTTTCCTCGTGTTTACCCGCCTTCTCCTTCTTCCTCGCAGTGCATACTCTGTTCTAATTGGCCGGAGCGCCTGCATGACCGGATCGATGCGTGGAGTGTGGCTACGACCCCCACGCCGCGCCTTGGCCATGCAGATGTAGGCACTTCCTCTCTTCTCCTCTTGTCCACCTGGGCTTAATCCCGTACCTTTCGCGCAGGCATGCATGCTATAAATTTCGTAAGCGCAACGAGTTTGCTCTCTAAGAATTTCGAGGTTAGCACGATCAGTGAGGGTTGGCTAACGAGCAAGTTTGGAAGGTGAGTGAGTGCAAGAATTAAGATCTGACGAGCTGGTGTCGGGTATGTGGGGTTGACGTGCGGGGCCGCGACGGACTTTGGCGCATGGGCGAACCTGGCTTGCTTGCTCGAACCAAGCAGGGTGACAACTCTGTGTTGATGCGAGGCGACGGACTGCCTGCATCGGGGAGAGAGAGAGAGAGAGAGAGAGAGAGAGAGAGAGAGAGAGAGAGAGAGAGAGAGAGAGAGAGAGAGCAGTTGTAAGTGTGGGATGAGGTTCTTCCCACTGTCCCTTTCTTTTCTTTTGTTCATCTGTATAATTTTGGAAGCCGATATGGTCGATTTTATCGCGGCCTTTTTTAGACTTCTCTTGTAAATCACCTTGGATTTTCCTTGTCAATTTTACTTCGTATGCATGCGTGGAATGAATGTGAATTCGCAACCTTTCCGGATTTCCAATCTTGTTTTGCGATGCCCGTTTCGTCTATGTCTATTGTTCACTTGCGCTCAGATATGATTGAAAACGCTCGATTATGGATGTTTTGGTTTAGTCGTTAACTTTCGATCACCAAGAGTGTCGTGAGAAGTTGATTGTCCTGTTCCCTTCTTCCCCTTTTTTTTTTTCGTCACATGTATGGTACGTAATGATCGGATCTCACCCGACGTAGCAGCGATAGGATATTTGCATATATGTCGAACGCGATCGGCACACTGAACCAATCCGCTGTTTCTCACGTGCACGCTCGCGTACGACCACGATCTCGAGGAAGCCGAGTCGCCGCATACGCGCTCGTCTGCGTGCGTCAGCCTTGGACCATGTATAAGGATGCAGGGGACCGAGCTTGCTAACGAATGTGGCTGCGGAATTTCCCTCTTGGATGTCCGATCGTGAGAACCTGAGGGATCCGGAATACCGTGAATGCTGGGAGGGTGAACAACTCAGATGGCGGGGGAACTTAAGGAATCCGGAATTCCCCTGTCTGACAGAAAACGATCGATTGTGCGCAAGGGACTTTCAATGTGCCATAACTAACGATCCCAGGGGCCCCGACTACCCGGATACTTATAACACACAATATTTCATATCCCCCAGCTTCGTCGTTATTACCACCAATTTCCCTCCCTTTCACCTCCTCCTTCCATATCACCAACTCACGGTGGTGCCGTGGAATTCCATAGCCCGTTATTGGCCCCGCACACCGTGCGAAAAGTGTCGGCAGCACCAGGCCTATCGAGCCTCGGAAATCGCTCGGCGAGCCCGAACCGAGGCCGAGCAGCGCCAAAAACTGGTCGAACCGCGCGACCAGCCACGAAAGCGAGAAACCAGAGAAGATGGTGATTCCCATCTTTCAGGCTTGAAAATTGAGTTCGTTGGCAGGGGCAATGTTGTTGGGATTTTGTTCGAGATGCAAGAGTGTTTAGATCTGTCAGTGCTGTGATTGTGGAAAAGTACCCTGGGATCTTTAGTCTGAGATGCACTGCGCATGCCATCTGCCTTATGCTGCACAACATCCGCGGCTTCCCTTTTGCGCACAAGCCCCGAGAGGTGGTCTACCCTCCGTCTTACGAAAATTAAGAGCGCCAAATACGACCTGCGCACACCCTCTTGCGCTTATACCCCCGAAACTTGCCACAGGAGATCTCAGTTCCGACCTGGGACTCCACCCCCACTTTCCTAAAATCCTTGGCACACCCCTTTTCGCACTTTCGGGCCCCCATGCCACTCCAATCAGGAAGTCGCGCTGGCCGTGAGGTTGGGCCTCACAGCGCTAAATGCAGGACAACTGGACTGCATCTCCTGGGGTGGATCCTCAAGCTTCTGGTTATGGTGGATCCCTTTCTTGACGGCCAGTTGCAGTACTTCGTCTGTAAGGGTAGGGAATATCTAGGTCGAGGAGACATCCCGGGCGCCCTGCATGGTGGCATTACTTTCCTGTTGGGGAGCCGCGTCGGGGAATTGAGCCTCCATGGTCTAATCAGGAAGCATTTCGGTCATGTTTCCGTACACACCACCTCGTAGTATAGCATAGTACTCGGTTATACTGACGGACAACTTTTGCGTTCTTCTAAAGTTGCTCTTCAAGAGTTCGATCAAGTACCAAACACTTGTCGGGGGTGGGTGGGCGGAGGGTGTCCGGCAAAAATAGACTCGCAACATTTGGCGAGAAGCAAGGGAGGAGAGACCAAACATTCCACCAGCAACCAGACTATTAGTTGTGGACTCACGATGCGATCGAAGGCCAAACACTCGTTGGGGGTGGGTCAACATGCCATCAAAGGCCAAAAACTTGTTGAGGGGCGGGTCACCATGCAATCAAAGGCCAAACACTTTTTGGGGGTTTGGGGTTTGGGGGGGGGAGAGAGTCTGGCGAAAGCAGATGCACAACATTTGACGAGCAGCAAGGGAGGACAGACCAAACATTCCATCGGCAACCAGAAAATATTGGCCGCTGACTCACCATGCGATCAAAGGCCATGGTAACGACGTCATCCCCATCTCTCAGTGTGGGGAATTTGTAGCCCTGCGGCCATTCTGAATCGCGGCTACCTGGCTTCAGTGCTGTCCCTGCTTCACCAGTTATATTCTTCGGCGTAGCATAGTCATTACCGTCTCCGATGGACACAATGCCAGAACGGCCATATGCTTGTCTCACAGTTTCATTCCCATTCCCAGAGCCATTGGGACCAGAACTCGTACCGGACGATGATGGCCTCCGCTGACGTGGCGGAGGCTGATCACTATAAGATTCAATAACTTGTCTACAGAAAGGGCATCTAACACCTTTGTCTGCCTGCACATCCAAAACACATACACACATTCATTAGATAACCAACTACATACACATTCATTTAGACCGCTCCTCGCACCAGATACACATTCATTAGATAACCAACCAACCAGATACACATTCAATTAGATAAGTAGCTACATACACATTCATTTAAATAGCCAACCACATACACAATAATTTCTTCTGGCATGGACGGAGAGCATTTTTTTTATTTTTTTTTACTGTTCAATGAGGTCAAGACAGGTCTTTCATCCGAAACGACTCCATTACTCTACATGCTTTCGGCGGCGGCGGTGGTGGTTTTGTTTTTTTTTTGGGGGGGGGGGGGGGGGGGGGGCGAAGGTAAGGAAGAGAAGATTTACATGCTTTGATTCCTTTGATTGCTTTAAGCTCCTTTAAGATTTTGGTTAGATTTGGTACTGAATTGAAGGATCTGATATATCCACCATCTATCCGTCCATCCATCCATCCATCAATCGCTCGATTGGTTGGTATTGATTCATTGCAGTGATTGGTTGATATTGACTGATCGCAGTGATTGATTGATTGATTGCATGGCTACACAACACATGAACTGCAAATAATCACAACATCATCAGAACACAGACTCAGGGTGTACAGAGATGAAAAAAAGTACACCATCGGGACAACCATCAACAAACGCAGATCTGATCCACACTAAGGGCAACAAACGCAGATCTGATCCACACTAAGGGGGGCAGGCAGATATGATCGAGACTAAGGGGGGTGCCGAGATAACAATTAACCCTTTTTTCACGTTTTCCAATTCGCCAAGTCAGGTAGGGACCTGGACAAAAAGGCAAAACAAAAACAGAAGGGAACTTGGGAATCTCGAGCATCCGCTCGGTCAACAAATCCAAATCCTTGTGTGTTGGACCTCGGCACTTCTACACAAGCTTTTTTTGTTTTTATTCCTATTCTGTTCAGCTGATTGCATCTGAATTCGGACTCGGGCCTGGTTTTTATTCCTATTCTGTTCAGCTGATTGTTCATGGGTGTGCCAACTGAGCTAGGCCCATTAGCACACAAGATTTTTTTTCCCAGCCTCCTGAGGGCATACTCAGACAAGGAGTTTTTGGGCTAGTCATCACCCTCGCTCAGTTGGTGAGGCACACAGAAAAAGTGGCATTGCAGAAGGTCATGGGTTCGGTGTACCCATTACCTGCCTGGGTATATTTGGTCCCTACCACCCGAATAGAACGCCTGGTCATTATCGCTGCATCTGGACCGAAAGTTGTGCCAAATACAGAAATAATGACCGGGCGTTCTATTCGGGTGAAGACGGTAGCTCAGTTGGTGAGGCACACAGAAAAAGTGGCAAACAGGAGGTCATGGGTTCAGTGTACTCATTACCTGCCTGAGTATGTTTGGTGCCCACCATCTAGAGGTAGCCCGTTGGGGCCCCCAATCGGCATTAAGCAGATACTGGTGATGTTCATCGGGGAAGGGGTACCCGAGGGGAGGGACAGCAACTAACCACTCAGACGCCGCTCCCGGAGGGGAGGGACAGCAACTAACCACTCAGACGCCGCTCGGTTCTGACACTACCAGCTGACCCCTCCTCCGTATCGCCCACCTGCCGTAACAGGATATCCCTGCCTGCTAGTGGGTGCAGCCTCCGCATGTTCCATCCTCGACACTGTTAAGGCTCCTAGGTGGAAACCCTGTAATACCTCCAATAACGACAATAAGCCCAGAAAAAGGTCCTCCTGTCTTATTCTACAGAAGGCTGAACTGGGTTGGGCTACTTTGATTTTTAAAAAAAGAAAACAAAGAAGGTTTCAACTAACATCTGGACATCGTCGTGGTCAGATGCACCCAGGACCGGCCCGTCAGACGCATCCATGACAGTCGTGATGTGTGTACGCTCTGCAGACTATCTTACGATGTTAAGATGCACCCAGGAACATGGCCATGCGCAGACACTAGTAGCCATGCTGTCTTGGCCATTCGAATGGTCGGCCATCTAGGCATTTAGATGTCTGACCTCATGGTGTACCGGATGTCTGCAGGTCTGAGTGAAGACTGTATTCAAATCTTAATATCATTTCGAAATTTTAGATCATAAAAAACGTACGCAAGAACCTTACAGTCGTGCAGGGGTAGTAGTTCTCTCTCTCTCTTTTTTTTTTTAAAGGTGGTATTAGTTCTTGATGGGGATCTCTCCACAACCCTCTCGACAATCTTATACATTATATGCTGCTCTGACCTATCAACCCATCGACCAATTGTAGAGCGTTAAGACACCTCTCGAGAACCCTCTCCATGTGCTTATCAGTTGATTGATGGATGGATGATTGATTCTCGCAAAGGTAGATTTGATTGATGGTTGACGGATCGATTGATGGATTGGATTGGATTGGATTGGATTGGATTGAGTGGTGGATGAATTCATCGACTTGATTGAATTTTACTGATCGATAGGTTGGTCGGGTGATTAATTGGTTGATTAATTGATTGACTGATCGATCCATGGATGGATGGAAGAACGGATGGATTGGACTGGACGGATTTGATTGATTGATTGATTGATTGATTGATTGATTGATCGACTGATGGATTGATATATTGACCATTCGATCGATCGATCAACTGGTTGACAGATTCAGCGATTGATTATGTGTTGAATGATTGGATCGGACTGGATGAATGAATGGATGGATAAATGGATGGACGTGGATTGATTTCCGTTGATTGGTTGATTGTTCGATTGACCGATTGATAAGTCGGTCGTTGATTGGCTCCTTAGGTGGGTGCTCGTTTTTCAATAGGTCATCACTGTCATTCAGTTCTGTTTCATACAACGACAGCTAACCAATCAATCAAACAAACAAACAAACAAACAAACAAACAAACAAACAAACAACCACTATCGATCTATCAATCAATCAATCAATCAATCAACGATCAGTCAGCCAACGAATCAGTCAATCAACCTATCGATCCATCCACATCCATCCACCCATCCATCCATCCAATCAATCGATCGACCAACCAATCAACCAATCGCTCCACCCATCCAATCCAATCCAATTCAGTACGAGCCAACTGATCGATCCAATCAATCACTCATTCAATCCATCAATCAATCCATCAATCTATCAATCAACCTATCAACCCATCGACCCATCCATCCATCCAATCAATCGATCAACAAACCAATCAACCGATCCACCCATCCAATCCAATCCAACTCAGTACGAGCCAACTGATCGATCCAATCACTGTCTCTTATACACATCTAGATGTGTATAAGAGACAGATCCAAACCAAACCAAACCAAACCAATCAAATCCAATGTCAACTCGTATCGACCAATCACGCACAAAGAACGAACCCGATCGGAAAAGGACAACGATCAATCTATCAATCAACCCATCGATCCGTCCATCCATCCATCTATCCATCCAATCAAACAACCAATCAATCGATCCATCCATCCATCCAATCCAATCCAACTCAATCCAATCAATCGATCAACCAACCAACCAACCAACCAATCAATCGATCCATCCATCCATCCAATCCAATCCAACTCAATCCAATCAATCGATCAACCAACCAACCAACCAACCAACCAACCAATCGATCGATCGATCCATCCATCCAATCCAATCCAACTCAATCCATCCAAACCAAACCAAACCAAACCAAACCAATCAAATCCAATGTCACCTCTTACCGACCAATCACGCAACAAGAACGAACCCGATCGGAAAAGGACAACGATCAATCTATCAATCAACCCATCGATCCGTCCATCCATCCATCTATCCATCCAATCAAACAACCAATCAATCGATCCATCCATCCATCCAATCCAATCCAACTCAATCCAATCAATCGATCAACCAACCAACCAACCAACCAACCAACCAATCGATCGATCGATCCATCCATCCAATCCAATCCAACTCAATCCATCCAAACCAAACCAAACCAAACCAAACCAATCAAATCCAATGTCACCTCTTACCGACCAATCACGCAACAAGAACGAACCCGATCGGAGAAGGACACCGCGAAAGGTATTAACAACGAAATAGAAATAAGGTAGGATCAGTACGGTACCAAGGGCCAAGCTCCACCGCTCACCAAAGGTGCACAACGAGAATGAATCTTCCGCTATAACATGGAAAGGTGCACCGCCACAATTCGTCTTCTATGCACGTAGTGAGTGGTGGAGCGAGATCATAAGTAAGGAACTCACAACCACACATCAAGATCAAATAAATAAAATACCCTCAAGGTTCTTTCAAGCCCTCCACGAGGGTTCGATCCTCCACCGACCGACCCGAGTAGATCAAATAAATAAAAAACTGCTCATCAGTTAATACTGACATACTGACGACAACGGAAATACTGATCATCAGATAATACTGACATACTGACGAGGGTTCGATCCTCGAAACAATGACATACTGACGACAACGGAAATAGGTCTTTTGGCCTTTTGGCTCCAGGAAGATTTCCAATTGGCTAATTTAAAACACGAAGGAGATAGCAAATCAATCTTTTGATCAATCATCAATTTCGTGCTCCATCGTACACGTGTCAGTCTCTGCGTACCGATCATCAATAACTATATAAATAAAATAATATTTAAACAAAATATTCCTATCGCTGTCCGAATCCGTTGAAAGAAGGGACTAACAGCCTCGGCTGCCACACAGACGACCACGCTCCTTTCCTTCCCAAACCCCTCTCTCTCTCTCTCTCTCTCTCTCTCTCCGTATTGATGGTATCACCTTGGCCTTTTGCCACCATCGGTTACTCCCTTACAGCCCACACGAACCCAATCTGACAG